TTAAATACAAAACCTCAGGGCATTCCTCCACCTAAGGATAAAGACTTCAGAAGATTCAAGATCCAATTAGACAAATATTTACCAGCGCACCCAAGACCTAGAGGCTTTGGAGAAATTGCCTGCAAGCTCTTGCCTTGCTGTATGTTTTCGCTAATTATTAGCCTGACCATAGCATCTCAATTCTCCCAGTAGCCTTCAGTTCAAAAGAGATTATTGAAATGACTATGAAAAGATTGAACAATTTAGTAGATTTTGGACTAGGACTTGATTCCACAGGGCACCACCGCAGAGCGATGGCCAACGTTTTACACCTTCCTTCTGGCACGGGACGTGCTACACTTAGAGGCTATCTGCTCTCTCCAGTTCCAGCAATGAAAACCTTTGCAGAAAATGGCTATGCCATTTAAAAAAGTGGCTATGCCACTTAAAAAACAAACAAAAAAAACACTAATAATTCTCTGACTTTTAAAAAGAAGCATCTGGGAGACAGTCTGCAACAGCACAGCTTCATTCTAAGCACTTTGGTGCAAACTAAGATTGCTTAATAACCACAGCATATAATTGATAGATGATCACAATAACAGATAGAAAACTCACATTTGTAAGGGGAGCATCTTCACATTTTTATAACATGTCTGAAGTGTCACATGCAGTTAGTAGATAACAACCTTTAGCATACTTAATGATGGCTACGGAGCCATCACATTGTAGGATGCTTCACATACTGTACAGTCACTATTGAAAGTAAATTTAATAGCCCCAAATTATTTAAATGAAGTGCTAATCAGGAAACAATTTGTCTCTCCACCATAAGCTATTTTTAGATGTGAACTTTCTACATCAGTGACTTTTKCTGCAGCTCAGCCTTTGCGTTGTTTGGAGAGGAGAAATAAATGACTCCTGGGAGAGATTTTTAAGGAATATCGAGCTCACCTTTGGGTTCGCTATTTCAAACCTAACCCAAGCTGACAGTAATTGCACCTGGGACCTGCTCCTGCTCCAAGGTCCATGAGGATGGAGCCAGCCTCTGAAGAGCACAGAGGACAGGGCAGTAGCCTGTTTACAGAGAGCTGCCACCATGTTCTGCAGCTGGAACTCAACTGGTCTCAGAATTATCCTCTCCGGAAGGACTTCTGGCTTAGAGCTGTCTGTTTTTATCCTAGTCCTTAACCAGTCTTGCCTACAGCGGGAAAACTGCCACAGAGCAAAACAAACTCAATAGACTAGGAAAGTTTAAACTTTTCCTTCTGTATGTGACATCTATGTTAAATAGACCCAGTGGATAAGACTTCCATCTACTGCTTGGCCATTACGAACCACATCACTGGAAAACTGAGTATGTAGCTCCCAAGTTTGTTACATCTCCATTATCAGTCTATTCCTTCTTCTATTTTACTGTAAAATTACATAACGGCAGCCAGGTCCAAGATCCAACAGTGTGGTGGTTAACAGACCACACTTGTAGTTTATTTTTCAATAAAATCAAATACATCCCACCTGCCTCAATACTGACTATTTAAAAATCAACAGGGATGATGACTTGCCCAGGATCAAGGGGGCTTTTTAATTTTCAAAACTCAACTAAGAGACAAAGCAGCAGTTATCTACCCAGCAGTCCTGCGCTTAAAACACATCAGTTATACGGTCTTTCAACCAGACTGTCTATAAATACACAATTGGGGATTACATTTTAACCATTAGATGTTGTACTAAATTACTGTTATTTTCAAAGCTGGCACTGAAACGATTATTTAAGGGGCATCTTTACAGCATTTTATAAACCACTGATTCTTTGGAATTTATAATTCCATTTGGCTGTTTCAACAGCAAAACGATGCATTGACTTTTTTTTGACATTTGAAGACAAGTGCAGCCATACCTAGGGACGTGGTGAGCAGAAAATAGGTAATTTCATCCGAGAAAAGCTTGTAAACAAGCTCCAAAATCCTCAAGCTCTTGAAGCAATCGGAGTTGGCCTGAGCTATCATACTATCTAAGCAAAGATGATACATTCAGTTTTCAGGGGCAATCTTAAATGCGACCTTTCTTAATTGACTATTGGTCTTCTTTCCCAATCATAGCTTTTATGTGTACAAATTACATAACAGCTGAAGGAAAATTAGGCGCTTCCTGACCACATCAAACAATTAAATGAAGAATTGTCCTACTTTTAATCATAGAGAATACTACTCTACCGCAGATACCAAGTCTATAATGGCACTACATAAGAGGAATAAAAAGAAGAGCATGATCCTAGGAAGACCTGGTATCTTTGCACACCTAAGAATTAAAGAATTAAGAAGGCAAGCACTGATCCCCCCTGTGCTCAGTCCACACCTCCTCCACACAGCAGATCTGGGAAACCTCCCTGCAAAACAAAAAAAGGCAGCACCAGACAACTTCAGTCCTGTCATCAATTTTCAAGTGTCACTCAAGATGAAGACACCATTTTGCCAACATTGCGGTAGAGAAAGCTCCTAGACAGCGATGTGGACGTAGCAGGGGATAACCTGCAGACATCTGCAGTCACCTGGCAGCTGCACAGGCAGCAGAAGACCCCTGATACCACAGAGCTGAGCAGGGAAGAGCTCTGCATGTAGAGCACTGCCCATACACTCGATGTTGGCTGATTTCAGTACAGCTTGGAAAAGTTTGCTTGGCTTTCTTAGAAAAGCTCCATTCTGTCTGATGATGATCATTCTGTCCAGAAATGCAATTGTCAGAGACTCCAAACGTGGCTTTTAGCCTAAGAAAGACTGAATGAGGGAAGCTTCAAGAAGTGTAAAGTTTTAGAGTGATGCCGCAAATCCAGCTAGAGAAGGAAAAACCCTGCAAAACAGCTATCACACCTGAAGATGTATTACATGCACTGATCTGAATTTCAAAAGCAAGGGCCAATACAGGAAAAATATTATGTGAAATATAATCTCAGACAGGTGTGCATCTTACCTGACCTTTATCTCACACTAAAACCTTAACCATCTCGCTGCCAGATCGGCCGACACCCAAACTCGATACGAGACAGCAGGTAACGATGTAGGGCCATGGTACAGGCTTGGCTGCTGCCACGTAGAGGTTAACACTCTTTCATCTGGCCTGTTTTCACTTGCTCCCCACTCCAAGTTTAGCAATGCTTTTTAACAGTTATGCTTCCAATCAGTGGCAAGGGTAACATAATTAAGAGATCAATGCTTGCTTCATCTCTGGGAAGAAAGCTATGTAAAGACAAACAGATCAAGGCACTTCTCTGAGTTAAAATTGCAGAAAGACCACTGTAGTCTCCCAGCCTTATGAGAGAGGAAATTGAAGTACTCTTCAAAGGAGTAATGATTTAAAAAATCAGGTTCAACTTTGTTTGGATGAAGTCTTTACATTAGGAGGGCATCAATTATTTAAAATAAACAGCAACAAAAAAACACCTCTCACAAGTAGATTGAGTGGTGGCAATGAGACACCACCAACAGAGAAGTCCTATACTATATATGAAGTCCTATACTTGCATATAGCAAACCCCAGAAATTGTATGCTACAAGCACCGTGTTTGTGTGCACCTCACAATACCGCGTCTTTCCAAAATTCACTTGTCTGAAGCATGCAAATAATTTGTGCCCGTTTCACAGTGTCCAATTGTTTTAACCGGATATCTCTTATTTGAATGTCTTTCTTCTGATCTATTGACTCAATTCATCGCTTATCTAAATTATGGGATTTGGGGAAAACAAAAATATTCCCCCCCCTCGCCTCCAACCCAATCATCTAAATTAAATGGCAAAATGGAAAAAACAACCCAACCATGAATAATTGTCTCCTATGAGCTCTTCCAGTGACAATGCCAGCTCTGTGACTCTCAAGGGGTAGGTTACAACTTGTAAAAAGACTCTGATGAAATCACAGCTTCAGACAGTTCAGGTCCCCAGCGAAACTAATAAACAGCCCTTGTGTGGCATGCAGGATCTGCAGGGACATCTTCTCAAAGGCATCACTGTAAAGCCCCAAGGCTTTTTTTTTTTTCTTTTTAATTTGGGAAAATGTTTGTCTCAATCAACAGCATTTGAAGTTGGAAGGAAAATACTTCCTTTAACAATGGCACAACACACACTGGGAAAACATGAGGAATTGCATCTTGGCTTGAAGCATATGATAACTGCTACTATTAAAGGGATGACAGTTGAATAAAATAAGTAAACTGAGTTACTTCTTATGGCTGCTTATACAGCTTTATACTGGTCCTAACTGCATGCTGCCTACTGCACAAGGACAACACTATATTTGGATGGTTTTATCAGCGTGTGCTGGAGGTGTCTACATGAATCATAACTGGAAAAGGCACCCAGTGATTTATGGGTATCATCCCAAAAACACTCATTAAACTAACATACCAACACTATACAATGAGTTTTATATAAGCTTGTGTTTTACAAGATAAATTGTCTTAAACGTTTTTCTTGCAATTTTTAAAATCCATTTAGCTGAATGGACAAGTACTTCAATGAACAATAAACTCAATGCTTAGAGCTCACAAAGAGCAATAAACTACCTCCATAAATGAGCCAAAATAGCTTTCTACAAAAGTATCTGGCTGCTGTAAAGTTCAAAATTACACATCCCTGAAAACAGCACCAAGTGCTGTGGATCCCAACAGCAAACCAAAAAGAGACTCTTCAAACGTTACATCTCCTGTTTTGCAAAGCAGTGGACCTCACGGAGCTGTAGTAAGTCAGCAACAATTGTTCATAAGCATAACTTCCATGAATTTATGCTGCATATTTTCAGCAAGCATGCAGGAATAAAAGATGGATATTAAAAGATATGCAGAGATTAACTATCTCTCATAGGGGATAGATCAGCAGTCAGAGAGGGTTTATATGTTTACCTACCAATTGTTACTAGATTTATGAAGTATTCCGAATGGTCACTCCCATCCTAAGGCTACACATGAATTATAGGTACACTGGGCAATGCAGCCTTTCCTTCTTTTGCCCAACATGGTGGTGGCTTACCTGAATTCGTGGAGATGTGTAAACTGCTCATGTCCTTGGAGAGACCGTTCGTTTTGGGGCTAGAAATGGGCGCACAAGCTGACGTAGCTCGGGGTGGCCTCTTTCCGGGGACTTTCACAGTGGTTCTCAGCAAGTCGATTTCTTTCCCGTGAACGTTCTGCATATAGTCCTGGTAGGAGGAAAACCAAAAACTGCATCAAACAAGCAGTTCTGCAAGTAGGACACCTGAGCAAGCCTGGCTTCTAGAGACTTGTGTCCAATATCATCTGCCATCATGATGATTGTGCTTCCCGCTTCCTTCCACGCTGCACGGAATCCCATCCACACTTTTCATACAAATACTCCACAAATATACTTCAGAGTAGACATGCCTCATGAAGGAATTAGCTATTTGTACTAAAAACTTAAGTATAGGCTCATGAGTATGTTTAGACCAGAAGCCAGAGGAACTGGAATTACCTCCAAGACAGATCCAGATATTAGAGAGACCCGTGTGATGCTGCGAGCAGCCACACAGCCAAAGACTCGCTGACAACGAGATTTCTTATAGCTGCCCAAGTGTGCAGGGCACTACAATACTCAGCCAGACTAGAAGGCATTAGCTAAAAGACTCCCAGCATTAACTAGGTCAGTTATAAACATGCAGCTCTGAGGCCTATACAGCACCAGAGCATCAATTTTACAAGGAAATGCATGAAGTGGACTCGAAGCATATTCCACATCTAAATCACTACTGCCACAACGCAGGCAGCAATCAGTTCCCCCATAAAAATCCTTTCATTTTTGACTATTTTTACAATGAGTTACATATTCCCCTCAGAACAGCCTAAAAATCTACTCCTGTATCAAAATCATCATTAATTTGCCATTAATTAAAAAGGCAAGAGAAGAAAAAACTCGTGCACAATCACACCATCTTCTCCCAGCTGTTTGGGAATTATTTACAGTAAAAAAAGGGAGTCTGGCTGCTTCACTGGCTGGGGAAGTAGAGCATTGCTGCCCAAAGAAACAAAGGCAATCCATTAACAAGAACACGCTGCTAGAAAGAGATGCACAAAACTGTTTCTCCTATAAATTACCAAGTTGGCATAACTTTCCTGTTCAGTGTCAGTTCTTCACAAATTAAAATACAATAACCAGAACATAATTGAGCATTTATTGCTTATGGGCTCGAAAATGAGGCTTAATCAGATAGTGACTAAACCTCAGCATGTACTCTTTTTAATAGGCACGTTTTATTTAACATACAACAGCCAGCGTGCCGCATTGAAACTTGATAATGAAGGGTTTCTTCCAAATTCTTCAGATGAAGGGAGGATGCAATTTCCCTGCTACCCCGCCAGCTTGGGAGATGTGACAGAGCATTATTAAAGCACTTTTAATTGAGTGTAGGACAGGCTTAGGTGAGCTATAAACAATTCAAGAGTCAGTCAATGTTGGCCAACAGGAAACAAATACCCCGTGGCCCCTGCGATTATTATAGGAGGGTGCCCAAAGAGAACAGATGCCACGTAGGTATTAACGTCAGCTTAAATATTTATGGGGCTAGAGCACGTGTAAATAACAAGGGCTCTTTGATGGTGTGCAAGATGCATGGCGATAATCTGCGCGTTCCCCCGAGGAAGACGAGGGGGGCACGCGGAGCGGCCCGTCCGCCCCCGGCGCCTCCGGAGCCGCTCTCGGGGCAGGGAAGTTGAAGCTACGGGATAATGTGGTGGCCTCAGAAGTGCCACGGATGGTTTGATCAGATTAGAACAGATGAGGGTCTCGCTGTCATCTGGAATATGCTGTGTTAAAGAAGAGACAGCAAGGCTGATTTTGATATGCAAATGTTACAGAGATAACTCCCCTAGATGTTAGTTGTAGAAAATGCTGATCCGAGAAAAAAGGGGAAAAAACCCTTTAACAAGGCATGAGGGTAATTCAAAGCCAAGTACTTTTAAACAGCACTTAACAAGTCCCTAGAGCCCACTCAACAGCGGGCCACCCCAGAAGTGCCATCTTCTGCCCCTCAACAGCTTGAAAAAGTAGTAATTGCAAACCCATTTGCATTTTTTTCCTCAAGTTGTCCACGTTCATCATTTGGTGATGCTGGAAAAAAATAATGAAAAAAAAGCGAGCAGCAAAGCAAGGGGAAGCCTCCCCAAACGTGGCGCTAACAGGATAACCGCGTGCCCGCGTCCCCCGTGCCCCTGCTCTCACACCTTCCCCGTCGCTTGTTTTTCACATTTCGCTCCTAATTATGTTGCATCTATTGCCATACACTTAATTAGCTGCATTAATGTGATTTCTTTTCACATAGTCAAGCAATTAAGAGCTATGATTGAGTTTCATTCAATTAGCCTCAACAAACATGCTAATTGATGTCCCAGATGCAAATGAGGTGCAATGAGAGAAACCTGCTAGCAATTGAGAGTTGTGGCAGAGAGACCCTCGGCTCCGGGCCTGCCGAGGGCAGCGCTGCTTAGCCCGGCTGTCGCTTCCTGCAGTGCCTCTGTGTCCCCCAGAGATCCCTCTGGGAATAAAGGATGGCACCCAACCCAAGCGAGAGCATCTCCCATTCTCATGGCCATGGGGAGCGTCTCTCTCCAGCACAGTAGGCTGGAGAGCATAGAGCATAGGCAATTTCTTTCTCTGAGGACCATAAAAGATCTCCAGCTCATCTCCGAGCTGCTGAGATACTACGCAGGTAATGGCCTACAGTTATCAGTGACTGGCAACTTCATCTTAGTCAGCCTGGGGGCAATGCAGCTTCTTCGAGTTAAGCCCAGGATGCATCAATCAATCAATAATCCCGAAAAAACACACTCACTGCATTGATTCTTGTGGCTTTTCATCCCCAGCTTACCCTTGGCGGTTTGCTCAAATATAGTGCTGCTGCAGTGTTAATTTGACTACTCAAGGCCATTGACCATTATCCACGGGACTAAACAAACTGCTAAAATATCAGCAAAAAGTCATACAAGCTACATTGACTGAAGATGACACAAAGCGGTTTTTGACAGCGCAGTGCAAAACAAATTGCCCTGGGTAAAAAGACACAATGCGCCAAGACAGAGACTAATGTAAAGCAAAATTATTTTAGTTCTGGTCTTAATACAGCTCTTCATTTATAACAACTGCAATTAAATGAACCAATTAACTGAACAGAAGTTTTTCAGACACACAAATTGAGCAAAAAGATATGGTTTTGTTTCTAAACAGATCTACCAAAGGGGGGTGGATTAGGACCAAAGGGACCTTGCAAACTTGAGGATTCTATGATTCTATGATCAAACTGAGGGGTGGAAGGAGAAGTGCTGCCTCTTGTGAGCTGGGATGCAGATCATCCAGGCCTTATTTCAATAAAGTAGCAAAGAGCATGTGGGAAAGATCCTGAGGGTGTTTCCTCCCCAAGCGTTCCTTAAGTAAGTTTAAATACATCACACTCATGTTAGGTGGATAACATTTTGGTTATTAAAAACATTAATGTTGGAGACTTTCTAGCAGTAGCCCTAATAAAAGAGAATACAAGAGATGTTCTGGTAGGTCAGTTTGGCAGGAGAAGGTCAGCTCTGCTTTGTGGCCCAGCAGCCCAACTCAGACTCTTTCTGCTTGAGGTTGTTCTTCTATCCTGGGATTGCTGCAACCTATTTGTCTTGGCCAAGAAGGCAGAAGATGGGAGACAAGAGCTGGGCTCTCCTTTGGCTGGGTTGGACTGTGATATGCACAGAAACCTCCTCCCTTTGAGCTCTATCTTCTGCACCATGGGGTTGGGTGAGTTGCACTCCAGCTTCACACCAAATCTCTGTCTTTGAGGACTGCCACATTCCACATTGCCAACAACTAATATTTCATTAAAAAAACTTTTTTTTTTTTTGCTTCATCTTATAGAGCTACACAAGGATGCGGCCACTCATGCTTCTCTACTGTGTACCTGGCCTACAAACTTCCCTTTCCTACCCAGAGCAGGCAAAACAACAAAGATGTTGCCTGAGAACACCGCCTTTCTATTTAATCATAAAAAGCCCATTTTCAGTATAAATAAGAATACTACATCTTTTCTCACTTTGATCCATTAGCATGGCTCAGAAGCAGCTTGCTTTTCCAACACCAGGAACTGATCCAGGCCCAAGAGAGAGATGGGCAGAAATTCTTCCCCACCCCATGTTTCTGGGGGGAGACATCATCTTCAACCTCACACGATACAGACAGCCTTTCCTGACCAGAGGTCCCATAAAACATGATCTTGGAAAGGAGTTTATGGCAGCCAGAAGGACAGCATTTGGAAATGCCAAACAGGATCCCCAGCCTGGGAGCTGCCAGGGCAACCCTCACAGCCTATCGTTTGGCCACTTTTGTACAAACCAGCCTCAATCTCCTTCCCCCAAAACCAAGCCAAGACAAAGGAAGAAAACCCCACCCCAATACCCATGCAGACTGGTGGCTGGTCCAGAGCCCTTCACTTTTTGTGTGTGCGTGCACGCCACAGTCAGACGCTTTTATTGCAAAACGCCGTCTGGAAAAGATGCAAAACAAAATTGCTAAACTGCAAGAAGAAGAAAAGGGGGGAAAAAAAAGAAAGGAAAAAAACCACAAAACAAAAGGCCCCCTTGCCTTTGCTTATTGAGTTCAAAGGCATAACATGCAGCACCCTGCAGCAAATGGGAAGCTACACTAATTTTAAAGCCATAAAACGCTATAAAGCGCCCTGCGGGGCAGGACTACACTGAAGCTAGTTGCACCTAAATAAGACATGGTTCATTTACTTCGCAGCTTAGCCTAATGTAATCATCAGCGGATTTCTAGCCTAGAGTTGTAACAGGCAAATAGCCGCTACCGCGCCGGCGACACTCCCAGCCATTGAGGGGCCGCCGCTAGATTGCTGTTGATTAGAAAATTTTTCAGTTTTGACAAGCGCTTAATGAACATAAATCGCTCCTTGATTGGTTTCCGTTCGGGCCCACAGGCACACCTATGGAGAAAGGAGAGTCTCCGCCGAGTCCAAGCCATGCTGGAACACGCTCCTCAGAGGCGCCTACCCGAAGAGCCGTCCTCCCTCCTCACGTACAAACCTGACCTAATATCCACCAGCATCATGGGATATAGTTAAGATTAAGAGCAGCAACGAAGTGGTGTTTTCCAGGACAAACATATGGATGCAAGCGCATGCTGGAAGACACCAAGCAC